TCACCTTTTTCTGGCTAAAGTAGTCTATAACTAAAGTAGTCTACGACTACACTATGACTACGCACTGCATGTATCTTTCCTGAATCAGAATCCGTTTAGAAAGTCCGCGTCCAGCTGCGACTCTGGCATTGCGACGCAAAACACTGAAACAACTCAGGGTAAAATATACCAAAATACCGACACAATTTCATACAAACCAACAAAAAATACTAACTGTAGCGCTCACGGTTATTAGAACAAAAAAATTTTTTTTTCGGTTTTCAAATTATTTTTATTTAAGCAAATACATTAAAATAAAGATAAAAAATTAAATAAAAAATATTTTTAAAAAATTGTCTTCATTGAGAAAAAAATATTTCTTCAGTTTGATACCCTTTAAAGAGGCGAATGAGTGGGCGTGGCAGATTTTCCAATACATATGTAAATTTTACAACAATTACCTGTCAAATGGCGTTTAAATTATTTAGTTATCTTGTTTTGTTCAAAAGTTATGATTTTTGCAACGTAAAATGAGAAAAGGCGGTCCTGTGCGTCGGCAAATGAACGGCAAGCAGGCATATGTACATATGTATGTATGTACGTTTGCCTAGCGCGGCGCGGCAAAGTACAGCCACAAGCAATGCTCTAAACGAAATTGTTTACGCGCTTGGCACAATTATTAAACCGAAATATTTAATGTTTTTAATAGCCAAGATCACGTCGGGGTCACCAAATGTTGAACTACTGAGCTTTTTCAATAGCTGTCGAAATGTCCAATTTTTTGTTGATCCAAAAAATACGCACTTGTTTTAAACGTTATAAATTAAATGCAATATTTATTAGGACACGAAACTATAGAAACTATATTTCTCAGCGCAGGCGAGCCGAATTGCCGCTGCGGATATTTATGACCCGAATTGGTCCGAAAATAGTTACAGGCAAATATTTGAGTTGATCGCTATCAAGCATAGGCGAAGACAAACGAAGACGAACTGAGAAAAGAATTTTTGCTGCAGTTAGCGGACGGCCAAGGGCAGCTATGCAAAGTTACGGACAAGAGCGAGAGAGTGATAAAGTTTATGTTATGCAGAAGGCAGGCGGAGAGGCAAAGCTTTTTGACCATTGTGGTGATGGCTTCCTTGGTGCTGAATTTATCAGCGCGTTCGGCTGAAAGGCCTTCGTCAATATACGAAGCTTCGAGGAGTTTACGTAAATTGTCTATGTCCGTAGTGAATTTTTCGGCAGTTTTGCCTTTCTGGACTGTTTTGGCCATTTTTGCCGTTATCACGTCGGATGTTTCACCGACTATGGTGTCTTGCAATTTTTTGATTATTGCATTAATGGTGGTCTCGTCCTGTACTTTGTATAATGTCGATCCAATAATTTTGGATTTGATCACTTCTACAGCTATGTGCTCGAAGGATCCCTTCGTTAAGTTGACTAATCTTAAGGCCGTTACAAATCTTTGTAGGTGGAGTTTTTGGCCTTTAAATTCAGGTATGGCACTCGAGATTTCTTTGATGTATGCCCTTTCATTGTTTCATCGGCCATGGTTGTCGTATTATTTAATTTGTTATCCTGTGAGTTGTCTGAAGTGTCTGAATCCGTGGAATCCAGATCAGCGTATATTGCCGGAATAGTAAGATTGTTTAAATCTTCTTCTTCTATTTTCGAGCTTACTTCAGGTGGCTCTTCTGACTCTTCCTCGTCTGTTTCTGTCGATTCAGGGTCAGGTGCAGTTTCTACTGCTATAGGTAAGGTTAATACGGTGGGCACCGATATTTCCAAACCGAATTTTTGTTTGACAGATAATAAATTAGATCGTAGGCGTATCAGAAGTTTAGATACTTGTGTCCAATGATCTTGAGTCAACCTATCTTTATGCTCATATATTAGTATACGTGCTGCATTAAAACACTCTACCAATATTTCGACGTGTTTCCAAACTGTGTTCTTTTGGATCGGTCTATTCTGAGCTAGGGACTTATATGATCTGTCAAAATTTGTTTTTATGTCTTCTAACTTTTTATAAATTGCTTTCCAATCGATACCCTTTATTTAGCCACACTTGTGTGTGTGTGTATTTTTGTATTGTTGTGTTGTTTATTGAATTTTTAAAATATGTGGGGTTTAATCATTGCTGTTATTTATGCTTTCTAATTAGATTTTATCCAGGTCGTTACCCCGGCTCATATATTTCTTTTTTAGGCATTTATTATGCAACTTGTATATTTTGTAAAAAAAATTAGCGCACATAATAACGACAATGATTATGAGGAGTATATGCACCCAATTTAGATTGATTTTGCTCGATCCTACTTTATTAATGACATTCGCAGTGGAATCCACTGTTTTTATGTCTAGAGTCATTTTTCCGGGTTCCGTGCAAAAGTCATCCTACAGGAGCTGTGGCTACTAAAGCTACACTGGGATGAGTCAGTACCCCAAGGAATCCATACAGCTTGGATGTCCCTTCTTTCGTCGCTTACGCCGTTGGAGTCTATAGCAATACCACGATATTGCCTCCAACCGGATATACAAACTTTTCAGATACATGGCTTCTGTGACGCCTCCATCAGAGCGTACGGATGCTGCATCTACGCTCGCACACTCGGATTAGATGGGCTAATCAAGGTACAGCTAATCACATCCAAGTCTAGAGTTGCTTCCACCAAGAAGCTATCTCTACCCAAATTAGAACTTTGCGGAGCACATCTGCTAGCACAACTCCATCAGAAAATCATTCGAATCTTCGCAGACAGAGAGCCAACCTCGTACTTATGGTGCGACTCTCAAATTGTTCTACATTGGAATCGCCAGCACTCAGCCACATTATCGACCTTTGTCGGCAATCGAATTGCTGAAATTCAAGAAATGACATCAGATTGTCACTGGAGACATGTTCCAACACACTGCAACCCGGCAGACATCCTGTCCAGAGGCTGCACCATCGCCGAGTTGGAAAAATCGATATGGTTTGAGGGACCTAAGTTTCTACGTCAAGAACAGCAATATTGGCCTAGGGACAATAAAGACATCAATGACATTGATCTGGAAACTGTGCAACTGGAGAAAAGAAAATCAGCCTTTGCCGTACAGACTATCAGTAATCAACTGCTTGAAGGAGTCTACAAATCCAGTTCATATCAGCGCTGCCTATTAGTCGTCGCCTGGATGTTTAGGTTCATTCATCGCTGTCGTAACCTCACGCCATCCCAGTCTCCAGCGCCAATGCCAACGGAATTGCAGCAGGCGCTGCATTGCATCGTCTGGAATATCCAAACCAATCACTTCGCTCAAGAGATATCATCGGTCCTGAAGGGCCAGCCGATTCGCACCAACCTTAAAAACCTTAGTCTCTTTCTTCAGGTCACAGATGGTTTCCAACTTCTAAAGTTCGGAGGACGCCTGGAGTTAGCAGACTACCCGGAGACCCAAAAGCATCCTGTCCTGCTCCCAGCTAAGGATCCCTTTGTCTCTCAGTTCGTTCGCTGTCTCCATCTCCAAAACTATCACGCGGGACCAAGGACTCTTGTCGCCTTAATTCAACGACAGTTTGGGATAGTCAACGCAAGGGACTTAGCGCGACAAGTCGTTCGCTCATGCATACATTGTCTCAGCTACCGACCAACTCTCGAAAAGCAGCTTATGGGGCAACTGCCCAAGGAGCGCATCACACCGTCTCGGCCATTCTAAAAATGCGGAATAGACTTTTGCGGACCAATCAACGTCTATTTGCGCATCCGGGGTAAGCCGCCCATCAAGGCATACCTAGCCGTCTTCGTTTGCTTTGTCACAAAAGCCATACATGTGGAAGTGGTCTCAGATCTCACGACGCACAGCTTCATTGCATCACTCAAGCGCTTCATTGCCAGACGCGGGCTGCCTTCGGACATTTTTTGTGACAACGCTACTAACTTCGCAGGAGCCAACAACAAACTAGAAGCTTTGAAGCAGTTTCTCTTCAAGAAAGAAACGGCTGAATCGATCCATCATTTTTGTCGCAATGAGTTTATTAACTTTCATTTCATTCCGCCCAGGGCTCCACATTTCGGGGGCATATGGGAGGCTACCGTCAAAAGCGTCAAAAGACTACTCGAGACACTCGCACTCTTCGAGACACCAGATTAACCTTCGAGGAGCTAGCCACAGCAGCTGCTGACGTTGAGGCGATATTGAACTCTCGCCCATTAACGCCGCTATCAAGCGACCCAAACGACCTGGCCGCTCTCACGCCTGGTCACTTCTTAGTGGATGACCCACTCCGAGCTCTTTCAGAAGCTCCACCAATCGACGACAATCTGGAAAGGCTGGATCGATTGAAGAAGGTCAGCGCAATTAAGCATCACATCTGGAGTCGCTGGAGCCATGGATACATAAACGAGCTCCAAGTTCGCACAACCTGGACGAAGACTGCACCAAATTTAGCGGCCAACGACATGGTTATTGTTCACGAGAATAATCTTCCCCCACAACGGTGGCTTCTTGGCCGCGTAGTCAGCACCATCGCCGGATCGGACAACATCGTGCGTGTAGCCAACTTACACACCGCCAAGGGAATCCGCCGTCCCATACGGAAACTCGCCTTATTACCTGTCTCTTGAAAGTCAATCGCATGCTTTCAAGGAGGCCGGTATGTTGGGTAAAAACCCAAACAGTACATTTGATTATATTCAAATTCCGCGCCTTATGACTGTTAGTTAACATTACATCTGTTATACGGATGCTGCCAACTCGTATGATCGAATGAGTGGCAGAGAGAATAAGAAAGAGTGTGAAAAGGAACTTAAAGTTGTACGCCATTATCAGAAAAGTTGAAGTTGAGGAGAACTGAAGTACGAATCATTAATAAACTTATACAATTAAACTAACACCAGCCGACTTATTATTTTATACTCAAGAATAAAGCTCTTGTTTTAACAGTGTGAATATACTAGAAGTTGGTTTCGCACTGGAAAGATAGGCTCCCAATTTGGGTACATTTTTTTTTTAACCATTATTACTATTATTCAACTACTTACTTTTTATTTACCAAACGGTCTTCGAAAGGATCTCTCGGTATGCGGGACATTATGTCGGACTCAGCTTTTTCATAAGCCAGCGATATTGCAGGCAACATATCGGTCCCGATATCAATACATAGGATTGCTATGGTGCCTAAAGCTAATGGAATATCAAAGACAACAAAACATAAGAACGGCATTATTTCTGGAAGATTAGACGTCAAGGTATATGCGATAGATTTTTTAAGATTATCAAAAATAATTCGGCCTTCTTCAATCCCTACAACTATAGAGGCGAAATTATCATCAAGTAAAATCATATCAGCAGCCTGCTTAGAAACATCAGAACCAGAAATGCCCATTGCCACACCAATGTCAGCTCGTTTTAAGGCTGGCGAATCATTAACACCATCTCCAGTAACAGCAACAATTTCACCTCGTCTTTGACAAGCTTCTACAATTATCAGCTTTTGTTGTGGTGACGTACGTGCGAAAACAATTTCATTATGATAATAAATAACAGCATCCAAATCTTCTGCGTTCATTTCCCGAAGTTCCCCTCCATGAACTACAATAGCAGTAGCTTCTCGGGGGTCAACTTCTTGAATACTTACACCACGTTCTTTTGCAATGTCCTCAGCAGTGGGTTTTGTAATGATACCTACGCTTCGAGCTATCGCTTTAGCTGTAATAGGATGATCTCCAGTTACCATAATCACTCTTACTCCTGCCGAACGGCATTTAGCCACCGCATCTGGAACTGCCGCACGCGGCGGATCTATTAACGATATAAGTCCTAAAAAACAAAGACCGTGCAATGGAAAGTTCGGAGGTTCCGTATTAAATTCGTAAGTAATCGGGAACTGATTCTTTGGAAGCTTAAGCTCGGCAAAACCCAAAACTCGTTCACCCATTCCTCCCATATCTAAGTAGGCTTCCTCAAATTCTGTTATTAATGTAGGATTAAGCTCTACCACTTCCCCACGAATTAATATCGTTTTGCAACGGTCTAAAATTCGTTCGGGTGCTCCTTTCATTTCGATTATAAAATATCCATCGCCATAATTATATTCATGAACAGAAACTTGATATTTTTCCGTAGAATTAAATGGTATTTCAGTTAACTTAGCATGTTTCAGACGAATTTGTCCTACACCACCATAAACAGTCTCAGCAAATTTTAAAAGAGCTGCCTCTGAAGCGTTTCCGTTAACTTCTTTTTTAAATACTGGTATACTGTCTTGCCCTCCCTTAAATTCTGCTGAGTTGCAAAGGGCTGCACATAAAAGAAGGGCACTGAATGATACGTCTTGAGTATTAAAAATAGATCCTTGGAAAGACTCCGTAGTATCAGATTCTACTATTGCTTGATCAAACCATAAATGGGCAACAGTCATTCGGTTCTGAGTTAGGGTTCCGGTCTTATCTGAACAGATAGTTGATGTAGACCCTAATGTCTCAACTGCCTCTAAATTTTTTACTAAGCAGTTCTTAGATGCCATTCGTTTAGCTGTAAGTGTCAAACAGACAGTTACTGTTACAAGGAGGCCCTCAGGTACGTTTGCTACAATAATGCCAATGAGAAACACAACTGCATCAATAAATGAATATCCAAGCATTAAAGCTATTACAAAAAAAGATAGTCCCAATATCACAGCAAATATTGTTATGAATCGAATAAATAGTTGTATCTCCCTTGAAATAGGTGACTGAACATCATCTAATCCGGCTGCTAAGTTAGCTATTCGTCCCATTACTGTATTATCGCCAGTAGCAATTACCACTCCTCTGCAAGTACCTTCAAGTACGTTTGTTGAAAAAAATGCTAAGTTTCTGGTTTCCAGAGGATTCTCATGAGTATATTCAGCTGATCTTACTTGAGGTTCCGATTCCCCTGTCAAAGACGAATTATCCACTTTTAAACCATGAGCTTCAAGAATTCGGATGTCAGCTGGAACTCGGTCGCCGAATTTAACTTCCACTATGTCTCCTTTAACTATGTCTTCTGTTGTAACTGTATTAATTTCACCTTCACGTAGTACAGTAGCGTATTGTGGTACAAGATTTTTAAAAGAATCCATAATAGAAGAGGATTTATGAACCTACAAATATTAGAATAATATGGTTTAGTTAGGATAACAGGATAAAATAAAAATTATCTAAACAATAATTAAAACTATTATTTGTTTGGCTTGTGACGAAGTCACACACAAGTCTAGACAATAGACGTAAGACATAAATACATACACACACACCGTGGCAGAATGATAGCCGGGTGTCGATCAGAACGCCAAGGTATTTTATTGCCCTCTGCGATCTAATCACGGCTCCGCCAACTCGGATCTCGGCCGTTTCCACGGTCTTCCGGCTCGATTTCAGGACTGCCTCCGGCGCAAAAGACTATAGTTGTAATTGTTATTTATAGTTGTAAATAATAAATAAAGTTTTGAATACAAAAAAAAAAAAAAAAAACCGTGGCAGAACCTTCCTGGAAGTGCTCTCGATGCTGGATGATGCTCTACTCAATGTAGGGCAGTGACACACATTCATCCGGGCGGGAGCTGGTTCAGTGGTGGAACTCACATTCGCCAGCCGCTCGAGAGCTGGGCAGAATATGTGGATGCTTAGTGGGGTGGTGTACACAGCAAGTAACCACACGGCAATCTTTACTACGCTGGATGTTCGCAGCACGCTCCATCCACCTGACCTCCCCCCCATTCAACGCAAATAATTTAGGGTTAACTCGCTCTACACCCAAGCCCTTGCGTCAAAGATGGAGAGTGAGAGAGCGTGATTCTGTGTACTGTAAGGTAAGCTCTATGGCTGGGGTGAAGTCAGTCATGGCAGGGTCTCCGATGAACGGTGGACTAACGTGAGATGGAGAGTGTCAGCCACGGCGTTACCAAGTCTAACATGGCGCGTTAGCGCGTATTAGGTCTGGCTCACGGCACTTGCCACGAGGAGACCGGGACGGATCGATTCTTTTTTTTTTTTTTTTCGCGCGGGGTCCCGCTTCCACCTCCAGCCCAACCGACCGAGGGGCACAGCCGCGTGCCGTACGGCACGAATCGCGAACTAGATAGACGCGGTGAATGAAGGAAGAAAAGAACGAAGAAACGTTACGAGAGTACAAAAATAAAATTTAATAAGAAAAAAATATAATATAATAAAATATATATATAAGTTAAAACGCATGCAAAATAAATATAAAAAAATATAATATGATGTAACTAACTAATAACTACGATAAATAAATAAAAACGCATGTTTATGGGGAAGACAACGAATTTGCCACCCTTCAGTTTATATTAAAAAGACGCACGATAGGTATTTTAATATAAGCCGTTTTTAATGTGTTTGTTTTATCGGAGCTGCAGACTGAGTGTGTAAAAGCTTGGCTTCAATATACATATATACATGCTTATGGGAAGACAAATGCAGTTTGGCTGATAGATAACGCGACAGCTTTAGCGAGATAAGAAAAGAGAAAACAAAAGAGCGCTGCAGGTGCAGTGGTACACCTATGCGCGCGTGACTAGGCGCTGGCGATCTGCTCCGAACATACTCCCCCCGTTGGAAGAGGTACGGTTCCAACTATCTCGGAATCGATGGGCAGAGCGGCTAGCTTGGCGACGGCTCTCTTGATAAGACCCGTAGCTGTATGGACCATAGCTACTCTGATGACGCCGTCTCCGCCGGATGTGACTTCCTCGATGCAGGTCACCTCGATCAGCAGGGTTGGGCATACTCGATAACCCTCCAGAGACTATCCAACCAAGTTTGGTGCTCTGAAGAGTTGGCAAAGTCCTGTCCAAATGAATTTTTCCTGTGGAAATTATTTGGAAAAACAAATCAGCGCCAAGCAAAAGGTCAATTCGTTGCGATTGATAAAAATAAGGATCAGCGAGCGAAAAGTTCTGCGGAATTCTCCATGATGTTGCATCTATATTGAAATGGGGCTGATAATCCGTGATACTGTGAGTCACAACAGCTGCGAATGACGCACGATAGCTGGCATCCCGTGATTGCGCAACAATATCGACTGCCCTATCCGAAATTATGGAAGATTCTCCTATCCCAGCAATCGAGATTTGCGATTTGCTATGACTCAAATTTAGTTGACTTGCTAAGCTAGAGGTTATGAAGCTTAGCTGCGAGGCAGAATCTAAAATTGCTCGGCAAGGCATAAATGCTCCACTTCTATTTCTCACGTATATAATAGCAGTCGGAAGCAACACGTAGTCATTCGGCATAATATTTGAGGCTTTGGGTGGAGGGCTTGAAATGTGATGATCAGGATGAGATGATGGTTGAGCCCATGACACTAATGCTGATGATGAAGTGGATGGCAATGGCTGAGAGCTCGAGGATGGATCGCATGATGGGGATGAAAATGAGATGGATGGTGCGGACGGGTCATGATTCATGTGTAATAATGAATGGTGCTTCATGCGACAATATCTGCAATGAGTCGACTTGCATTGCTGCAACCTATGCCCCTTGCGCAAACAATTTAAGCAAAGGTGCAACTTCTTTGCTTCTCTATACCGAAGATTCGGACTCAAATTCAAAAATCGAGGGCATTTTGACAAATAATGATCCCTTGCATCGCAACACAAACATATCTGCTGACTTGAGTTAATGGCAGAAGCAATAAGTGCACTTGGAGTATATGTGTGCAAGTTTTTTCCCACCTGCTGGCCTGGTGTTTGAGTTACCCAGGCTTGATCCAAGTTTTCCATCATCCTGCACCTCTTCTCCAGGTAGGCAGCTCTGTGATCGATAAATCCTCTTCCCATTTTTCACGCGTCCTATGATCCAGCTTTCGAGTGACGATGTGTATTAGAAGCCCATCCAAAATCTGTTGCGTAGTGGCCAGGGTTCGAATTGCTCGTAACCGTGAATTCATGCAATCACTGAGCTCCCGTAGACCCTTTGACGATCCCTTCTCGACACCCTTTGAACCAAATATTGCCTGTACGTGTGCCTGAAAATGTAAAATTTTATTATCGAATCGATTTATCAGGAAATTTATAGCCTTATGATAGTTTGCATGTGAGGGTTCGAGCGAGCGTATGGTCTCCAAAGCCACGCCGCCTAAACTCGACCGCAAGTATTGCAACTTTTCAATATCTGTTAGCTCATCATCATTCCCGATGACCGTAGTGAACGTCGCTAGAAAATCCGGCCACTCCGAATAGGATCCATGAAACCGAGCAATTTCCAGATTTGGCAACCGAGGCTTCCTCGATCTAAAAGAAATTTCCGGATTGTTAGTCACGTCAATAGATGTTGAATTGGCAGCGATTGAAGCCGGTAATTGCTACTTGCGATGAGCAGCTAAGTCTCGGCTTAGCTTCGCCTTCACATCCATGAAAACTCCGGAAAATTCAATCCGATGGTCGCTCGAGATCTCCGTAATATCCAGTCGCTCCAACGATGTCTGCGCAGCATCAAATGCCTGGTTTAAGGAGTTGATCCAATCCATTCGCGCGAGTAGATCAGCTTCATCAAACTGATTGACCGAATCAGCATTTAAATTAAATTTCATCGAGTTCATTTGCCGCAAAATAGATTGGGCTTTGGCTCGGTAGAAGTCAACGTCCACTTGGGGCTTCATTTTGCGCCCGAACCGAATTTTCCGTATCAGACATTATTTTATTCGATCACGAGAAAAAAAATAAATAAATTTAAATGTCTGACCGCGTCAGAGGCACGAAACACCCTATGCTTTCTACCGCGAAAATGTAGAGGTTACAAGCGTCGCCGAAATGCAACGGAACCTTAAACTTGTTGTTGTTGTTTTTGCCGTTAAGTTGCCTGCTTAGCAACAGCGGATATATGTGAACGGATGTATGTATGTATGGCGGTGGCTATATGTACATATATATGTATATGCACTATGCGAATTTAACAAACGATTAAATTCGATTCACTTTTATGTCAAATTATTTGCACAACACAGTTTTGATTTTCACAGCGCGAAATGTACAAAAATCAAGCGGCCGGCTGCGCGCTGTATGTATGTATGTTTGTGTGTTTGTGACCGAATGCCCGCAAACGACAGCAAACAAGAGTTTTGTTTAAACGATATTAAACAATTACGAAACCGAAATGCAGACTCCGATTAAGATCACGTCGGGGTCACCAAAATGTTTATGGGGAAGACAACGAATTTGCCACCCTTTAGTTTATATTAAAACAAGAAAGGAAGCTAACTTCGGCACGCCGAAGTTTGTATACCCTTGCAGATTGGTTTTCATATTTATATTATAAATTATAATGCCGAAAACAGACACTAAACAGAGTTTCATTAAATTTTACCTATACTTATTATGTTTACAGTTTGACAGTTACAGTTTTACATTCCCAGCTTTATATATTTTATACATTTACCGATCGCTTCTATGACAGCTATAAGATATAGTTGTCCGATTTTTATAAAATTTATACCAAATATCTATAATAATAATTTAAGCTCATATCTCGTAGATGAAAATACGTTAAAAAACAACGAAGTTATAATTTTTTCTATTACTTTCCCTATCGTTCCTATGGCAGCTATAAGATATAGTCGTCCGATTTTCATAAAATTTATACCAAAATTTTGAAATAAAAGCTCATGTGTCAAAGTAGATTAAAATACGTTGAAAAACAACGAAGTTATAATTTTTTTCGATTAATTTCCCGATCGTTCCTATGGCAGCTATAAGATATAGTGGTCAGATTTTCATAAAATTTTTACCAAAATTCTGGAATAATAAAAAAAGGCTTCATCCCAAAAATGGTGGAATAATATTGAAAAACAGCCAAGTTATAATTTTTTTTCCAAAAATTTATCGAACATTTGTATGGCAGCTATATGATATAGTCGTCCGATCCGGCCCATTCCGACATATATAGCAGTGAGAGTATATAGAAGACTATATGCAAAGTTTCATTCAGATAGCTTTAAAACTGAGGGACTAGTTTGCGTAGAAACGGACAGACGGACAGACGGACATGGCTAGATCGACTCGGCTGTTGATGCTGATCAAGAATATATATACTTTATAGGGTCGGAAACGTCTCCTTCACTGCGTTGCAAACTTCTGACTGAAAT